TTAATCTAGATTCCAGAGGCTAAACATTGCTAGGAATGGGGAAAGAACATGAATCACCTCTTTCCCCACTTTTTCTGCTCTAATTTTAAATATGTGAATCATAATCCTAGGAAAATATGCTGGGTAAAGAAAGGAAATATACAGGGAAAGAGAGGGGAAACATACACCTGGTCCAATTTCCAGCCAGCTTCTGCAAGGCAGCCACCAGACAGGCTAGTAACCTAAGAGAACGTCTGACAGGTTGATATTTTGAGTTCGTTTTCCTGAAAAATATTTTTGGGCCCGAAATATTGCAGTGCCTACCTGCCATGTGAATTTCTAAAAGAAGACTCAGAGAAGGTAAAGAAGAGTGACTGGAAAAAGGACAACTTCTGATTTCGTCAATCTATTTCGCAGCTCATACAGGTTGTGGATTTAAATAATCTATGACAAGACTTCATGGGCTCAGTTTGCAGAGAACAATTTGCTAGCTGGATTTATCACCAGATTCAATTTAATTTTTTTTTTTTTTTTTTTGTGGAGTCAAGGTCTTGCTATGTTGCCTAGGCTGGTCTCAAACTCCTGGCCTCAAGCAGTCCTCCTGCCTCAGCCTCCAAAAGTGCTGGGATTACAGGCAGGAACCATGGCACCTAGCCACTATGTTCAATTTTAGTGACTTGTCACAATAGACATCAATTTATTTTATTTCTCTGCTTATGACTTGCCTGGGCCCTTTATGTTCTTGGAACCCCTGAGCAGAGCTGTCCTCTGTCTGCTCTAATGCAACAGTCCCCAGCCTTTTTGGCACCAGGGACTAGTTTGGTGGGAAACAATTTTTCCACAGACAGTGGGGGTGGGGGGGATGGTTTTGGGATGATTCAAGGGCATTACATTTATTGTGCGCTTTATTTCTATTATTCTCACATTGTAATATATAACAAAATAATTATACAATTTGCCATCATATAGAATAAGTGGGAGCCCTGAGCTTGTTTTCCTACAACTTGATAGTCCCATCTGGAAGTGATGGGAGACAGTGACAGATCATCAGGTATTAGATTTTCATAAGGAGCTCGCAACCTAGATCCCGCACATGCACAGTTTACAACAGGGCTCCTGCTCCTATGAGAATCTAATGCCACCACTGATCTGACAGGAGGCGGAGCTTAGGCAGGAATGTGAGTGATGGGGAGCAGCAGTGTGTACAGATGAAGCTTTGCTTGCCTGCCTGCGGCTCACCTCCTGCTGTGCAGCCTGGTTCCTAACAGGCCACAGACCGGTACCAGAACTGGTGCCGGTCTGTGACTCAGGGGCTGGGGACCCCTGCTCTAATGGGCTTGCTTCTGAGGCCACAACCTGGTCAGAGAAGACAGTTATACCTCTGGCTTTCTACCTCCCAGAATGCTGGGACCCCATACCTTTTACATTCCTTTCTTCCCCTTGGCAGGTCCCAGGTGGTTCAAGCATAGACAATTCTTGATAGTCATTGAGGTTTTCTTGAGTTGTCCACAGTGCAGCTGCCCTGGGTCATGGACCACTGACCTTGACTTCCTTCTTTGTTCCAGGAGTGCTACAACTCCTTTGTTAGACTCTCCGAATACAGACCCTGGTCCTTCTGCTTCCTTGTAACTGCCACTCTCCTGGAACAAATTCCATCAGGGCTGCTAGAAAAAGGCTCACAGAGCCACCATCTCTCTCTTGAAGGTCCAGGTCTTGCTGCTCCTGCAAGGTAAGAAGCTCTGGGGTACATGAGACTCATTCCCAGTTAAAGAGACAGAATAAGGAATGTAAGAGGTGTGGGGGTCCCAGCATTCTTGAAGGTAGAAAGCCAGAGGTATAACTCTCTTCTCTGACCAGGTTGTGGCCCAGGAAGCAAGTCCATTACAGCAGACAGAGCACAGTGCTATAGACAGGTCCCAAGAACGTAAGGGGCCCAGGCAAGTCATAAGCAGAGAAATACAAGCAAGAAATAAGTGTCCTCTCTGGCAAGTCACCAAAATTGAACATAGTGGCAGGGTGCAGTGGCTCATGCCTACAATCCCAGGGCTTTGGAAGACCAAGGCAGTAGAATTGCTTGACCCTGTTTCTACCAAAATTGAAAAAAAAAAAAATTAAAATGGAATGTAGTGATAAGTCCAGCTAGCAAATTGTTTCCTGAAGACAGAGCTCACAAAGTCTTGTTGTTGTTGTTGTTTGTTTTTTATTTGTTTGTTTGTTTTGAGATGGAGTCTCACTGCAACCTCTGCCTCTCAGGTTCAAGTGATTCTTCTGCCTCAGCCTCCTGAGTAGCTGGGGTTACAGGTGCACGCCACCACACCTGACTAATTTTTGTATTGTTAGTAGAGATGGGGTTTCACCATGTTGGCCAGGTTGGTCCTGAACTCTTGATCTCAAGTGATCCACCTGCCTCGGCCTCCCAAAGTGCTGGGATTACAGGCATGAGCCACCGCGCCCAGCCACGAAGTCTTACAATAGATCATTTAAATCAACAACTTCTATGAGCTGCAAAATAGATTGACAAAATCAGAAGCCATCCTTTTTCTAGTCAATCTTCCTTGCCTTCTCTGAGTCTTCTGTGTAGCCAGCATTTCTCTGAATAGATGTTCTTGTCTCTTTAATTAGCAATGAGGTGTTCTCATCTATAGCAGAGCTTCTTACCTGGCAGGAGCAGCAAGACCTGGACCTCCAAGAGGGAGATGGTGGCTCTGTAAGCCGTTTCCTAGTGGACCCAGTGGAATTTGTTCCAAGAGAGTGGGAGTTATAAGAACGCGAAAGGACCAAGGCCACTATCTGGGGAGTCTGACGAAGGAGTTGTAGTACTCCTGGAGCAAAGAAGGAATTCATCAAGGTCAGTGGTCCGTGACCCAGGGCAGCTGCTCTGTGGACAATTCAAGAAAACCTCAATGGTTATCAGAGGAATGCTGGCTACTGCACAGCCACGAGAAAGATGTTGAGACAGGGTACCAGGCAGCCCAGGAGGGCCATTGCTTAGAGCTACTTACAATGAGTCTGCAGGTCCCAATGACTTACTGTATGATTTGCCTGGATCTGAGAAACTCTATTCTCCAGAGGCTGATAATGGTTCTCCTAGGGCAATGCTTTATACTGCTGCACAGCATCTGTGTTCCATTTCTATTCCCTGTAAATGTGCATTGTCGGCCGCTTGCCTGCACTTCCCTCTCCCTGCCCCCTCCCCTTCCTTTCTCTCCCCTAGATAGCTTTTCTCTTAGGAAGAATGGGATCATTTCTCTCCTGAACAGGTCTTCCTGCAGAGGAAAATGCTGAACAATACCAAATGTGGGCTTTGATTTGTGTATTTCCTGTGGCTGCACGGGGCAACTAGGCAGAGAACTGCCTCTGGAGTTTCTTCCCATTTTGCAGACACAGCTTAGAGTTCTTGCCTTTTCCAGTAGGGCTTGAAATTGTCTTTATGACAGTGGTTCCAATGTTACGGGTAACGGGTAAGGTGGGCAGCTTCTCACGTTACTCCTGGAGAATCACTTTCCAGGTTCTTCTCTCTCTCCCTCTCCAGCCTCCCCCAATTCCCCTTTATCTTCGCTTCTAATTGGAAAAACGGAGGAGTGAGGTATGGTGAAAGCAGAGATCCTAAAATAGGTCAGGCCATCATGCAGTTTCCAAAATAAACGTCATCAATGCCAAGTCACTGAACCATATAGCCCAAGCTGACAGTGCCTCATTACCTGCTGTTCTGATGGGATTTTAAAGTCACAGCAAGCATCGGTGTCAAGGACTTACAAAAGAGCCCCCCAAAAAACAAAAACCAAGACAGGGAAGGCAATTTTGGGATGAGCAGGGGAGAAGATGGGATAAGGGAAATGAAGAAAGACCCTGCCATACCGGGATTGAAGCGCAAACCAGAATGCGTCCTTTTGTAATCCACGTTGCTATTTTTGGTTATGAATGGGCTTGTGGGGGATGGAAAGGGGGAGAAATAAATCCATCCCTGCCCCAGTGCAGGTTTGAAGTTTATGAGGATGGAATGGTAAGCATACAACATAGGGTTTTATGCATCAGCACAACTTTGTGTTAAATTGTTCTCAGAGGGTATCTTGTAGAGGAATGTGAATATGAATGGCTGTGTTGTTCTGGAGGCTGAATTGCAATTACCAAGATGTGATAGGAAACCTGGTCTTAACACTGCTCGGTAAAAGAGTATCCCCCACCCCGCACTTATGTATAGCACCTATGGTCCATTTAGTCCCACATACACAAAGTAATCTCTTTGGTAGTCAAACTCCCATGAGCCACCCAGAGTACACAGCAGAAAGAACTCTGTTGCCTAGCAACCAATGGAACATTACAACACTAGATAAATCGAATCAATATTGCTCTAAATATTGAACCCTTAGATGATGAAAAAAACCCTCAAAGCTATGTCCATAACTCCTCTGCTCTTTCCTCTCCTAGACTTAGCAGCTGAGGAGGACCAGCTGGTGTTTTGACAATCTGTGGAGACCTACAGGGAAGGAGGATGGCGGGACAGCACGGCGATTTCCACGGGGGAACCCGGCAGTAGTCATTCCAGAAAGGAGATACCTGAAGGCTAAATCCCTAGGAATCTGGAGCCTCCTGTCCACCTTGGCAGCACTGGGCAGCCTGGAAGTGAGGTCATTGTCCTGAGTTCCTGACCTGCTGGCATCTGGTCAGGAATCACTGAAGTTGAAGAGACCAAGGTCACTGCCAATGGTTTTTATAAAGAAAACTTGAGTTGCTGGGCACAGTGGCTCATGCCTGTAATCTCAACACTTTGGGAGGCTGAGGTGGGAGGATCTCTTGAGCCTAGGAGATTGAGACCAGCCTGGGCAATATAACGAGACCCCCCTCTCTTAAAAAAAAAATTAGCCAGGTGTGGTGGTGAACACCTGTAGTTCAAGCTACTCAGGAGGCTGAGACAGGAGGATCACTTGAGCCCAGCAGTTTGAAGCTGCAGTAAGCTGTGATTGTACCACTGCACTCCAGCCTGGGTGACAGAGAGAGACCTTGTCTCTCTAAAAAAAAAAAAAAAAAAAGAACACCCAAGGTTCAAGTTGGTGCACAAGATGTTCCTCCCATGAAACCCCCAAGGCCCTCCTGATCCCTTCATCACCAAGCCCCAGTGGTGAACTGCACCTTCTCTGTCTGCTCACAACCCTCAGATTGACATATTGGAACTTCCTTTCCCTTGACATCTCTTTTAGTGTATTTTAACCAGCCCCTTGCATCTTGGTAGAAATGAACCCCGTTTGGAAGGGGAGGGGGAACTTTGAAAAATGTCTAATCACGTTTTCCAATGAGTCACTTTTTCTTCCTGGAAATAATGCTAGGTCATATTCCTAGAAACACTTTCCTGACTGAGTAGCCTTTCTGAAGAGGCTCCATATGTCCCCTTGCGCAAAGCTTTCCTTGGGGTCCCCAGCTTTAAGGTTCTGCCACAGTGCTGTTGGAAGCGTTGATTTTTTTCACAGATAAAATGGGAGAGTTGACTTTAGTGAGAGATATTAAGAGGTGGAGGAGAGAACCTAACAATGTGAGTCTTTACCATGTGCCAAGCCCTGCAGAGGATGCGTTAATAAAGCCGGAGCTGCTCATCGAAGTGATGTGATACCCATATGAGGTAGGACCTATTCTTTCCATTTTGCAGATGGAGAAACTGAGACTTACGGTAACTTATCTACAAGAGAGAGTTGTGGTATCCCAACGGGCAGTAATTCTGGGCTTCTCTCTGGTCTTTGTGTGGTCATTGGGAGGTATATGGCTGAGCAATTGTCCCCTCTCTTAGTTCCAATGGGCCACACAAGGGCCATTTGAAAAGACAGGATGAAGGCTGGGACCCACGACAGCTCTGTGTCATTGTCATAATGTAGAGGATGGTCTCCACCGTGCAAGAGAAGAACCTCTCAAATCATGAGACAAGACAGGAAAAGAGATCTGTCTTCCTTCTAGACCTCAGTGGTGCTATCAGTGACAATGCACGTTTGCCCTTGGGAGTGGCGCAGTTAGAGTTTGTATAGTTCAATTTTTACCTCCGGAACAGTGGAGGCAGGTCCCGCTTTTCATTATTCTCTTGATGCTTTGTCCTCCGTCATATTACCACTCAAGTTTGGATTAGGCTGTGGATGTGGGGACTTGCAACATTGGAGGGAAAAGCTTAAAACTGTCAAGGGGCCAAGCGCGGTGGCTCATGCCTGTAATCCCAGCACTTTGGGAGGCCGAGGCAGGTAGATCACAAGGTCAGGAGATCGAGACCACGGTGAAACCCCGTCTCTACCAAAAATACAAAAAAATAGCTGGGCACAGTGACGGATGCCTATAGTCCCAGCTACTGGGGAGGCTGAGGCAGGAGAATGGCGTGAACCCGGGAGGCGGAGCTTGCAGTGAACCGAGATCGCGCCACTGCACTCCAGCCTGGGCGACAGAGCGAGACTCCGTCTCAAAAAAAAAAAAAAGAAAAAAAAGAGACTGTCAAGGATAATTTCTCCATAGCTCACGAGGAAGGCCCCCAGGAAGATAAACTCTCCACAGGGGTCCCTTGTGGCACATCATTTTTTTTTCCTGCTGTTCTCTACCGTCAGGTTTTTTGTCCCCGCCACGCCCCATCAACTGTCTCATTCTTCCAATCTCCATGGGGTGCATCTCCATTTTCCTTTTGGGAACTCTATTAGGGTGGTGCAAAACTAATTGTGGCTTTTGCCATTAAAAATAATGCCATTTGGCTGGGCGTGGTGGCTCATGCCTGTAATCCCAGCACTTTGGGAGGCTGAGGTGGGCGGGTCGCTTGAGGTCAGGAGTTCAAGATCAGCCTGGCCAACATGGTGAAACCCCATCTCTACTAAAAATACAAAAATTAGCCGGGCATGGTGGTGCACACCTGTAATCCCAGCTACTTGGGAGGCTGAGGCAGGAGAATCGCTTGAACCCTGGAGGCGGAGGGTGCAGTGAGCTGAGATTGTGTTGTTGCACTCCAGCCTGGGTGATAGAGACTCTATCTCAAAAAAGAGAGAGAGAGAAAAAAAGTAATGCCATTAAAAGTAATGGCAAAAACCGCAAATATCTCCCTATCCTCAGGGAAATCTCTGAATCTCAAGGCCCGTTACCACTTTCCCCTCTCCCGTCCCAAAGGTGCATTGATCCAACAGCAGCTCATTAAATTCATGGCAACACCTAGGACAGGGAAACTATTGCTTCTGCTATCCCAGGGCAGAAAAACCACAGATGCCCTGTGTGAGTCTCAGGCAAGTTCATGCCACATCCCTTCTCCAAGTTCTCTGTGCAGGTCTATCTCTGGACAGGTGTCTAAGTCTACCATGCTCATTTTTCCTCATTGTCACCATCGTTATGGCTGTTTGACACTGCTCCTACACGTCAGGCACTGTACATGACATTATTCCACTGCCTCCACTGAACATCAGATATCATCACCCCATTTTGCAGAGGAGCGAATGGAAGCAAAGAGTGTGCAATTTGTCCTAGGACATCCAGCTAATAAGTGGGAGCTGTAATTTGAATCAAGTTCTTTCATCTGAAGTCAAGGCTGTTCTGGAGGGTCAGTTTTGCAGAGGCTGGAGAGGAGACGGCTTATAGCACATGCTCTAGGAGTATAAGAGGCACCCAGTCGGTGACTGGCGGAATCTTGCCTTCACTTGGAAAATCAGGAGACCTGGATTTTAGTCCCAGTTTTATTGAACTCCCAATTTTCCTTTTCATCGTCCATAAAATGAAGGAAGGCTCAGTGACCTGCCAGCGCTCAGAGTCTAATTCAGACCAATGGCCAGTTTCGGAGTCCAGGAGGCAAACTTTGGAACTGAATCCAAACCCGTACAGAGCTCAAATGTCTCTGCTTTCATTCTGCAGTTGAAACAGATAAAAGACACAAGGCAATTTCTTCATGCACCACCACTGCCAGGGAACCACAGAACCGAGTGACCGAGGTCTCTTCCTGCCAGGCTGCCTGGAATGAAATCTTTCAGTCACTGTTTCCTTAGGTGTTATTTCTTTACATATGAATAAAAGCCTCGGTAGAAAGGCATTTCTGGTGTTAAGGAAGGAAATCTGAATCTATAAAATGAATCAATTGGGGCTGTAAATGTTTGCATTACAAAAGAATTCTGAAGAATACCTCCGTTGTGATATTCTGCATTTATTATTATTATTATTTTTGAGACAGGGTCATGCTCTGTTGCCCAAGCTGGAGTGCAGTAGTGCTATCACAGCTCATTGGGGCCTCAATCTCCTGGGCTCAAGTGATCCTCCCAATTCAGCCTCCTGAGTAGCAGGGACCACAGGCATGCTCCACTGTGCCTGGCTAAGTTTTCTTTTTCTTTTCTTTTTTTTTGAGACATGGTCTTGCTGTGTCGCCTTGCTAATTTTTTTGATATTGAGAAGAGACAAGGTCTGGCTATGTTGCCCAGGCTGGTCTTCAACTCCTGGGCTCAAGCAATCCTCCCACCTCGGCCTCCCAAAGTGCTGGGATTATACGTGTGAGCCACTATGCTAGACCTTATTATTATCATTAACAAATCAAATAGTGGAAGGTTCATTAGTTAAAAAATTAGGAGCATAGAAACAGGGCCAAAATATAACCAGCCTGCTGACTGGTTAAACATACTTATTCATTTTTCACTTTTTTTTTTTTTTTTTTGGCAAAAGGATGACATACATCTGAGGTTATGTCATTCCCACGTGAGACTTTTCTATCCTGAGATGTGCTTCTCCTTTTGAAAATGCTCTGTTCATGCCCATCAACGTCTTACCTTTCCATCCTCATTCTGGCTCGTAATCATATGTTTCTTTGTAATATCAGCCGCCTGTACCAAGTATGTTGGTGTAAATTGTTTCTATTACTACATTTTTCTTATTTATTGTTTTCTTTTTTGAGATGGAGTCTTGCTCCGTCACCCAGGCTGGAGTGCAGTGGTACGATCTCAGCTCACTGCAACCTCCGCCTCCTGGGTTCAAGCGATTCTCCTGCCTCAGACGCTTGAGTAGCTGGGATTACAGGCACCCGCTACCAAGCCCAGCATTTTTTTTTTCAGAGGAGCCCCCTACATCTTAGCCTTCAGGCTGAATAGCGGGGCATTTCACAGGGATTTACTGTATGCTTATGGAGGGAAGAACAAAATCAGGCAGCGGAGAAGCTTTTTTGGAGACAGGGATCTTGTTCAGTTTCCCAGGCTGGAGTGGTGCAGTGGTGCCATCTCGACTCACTGCAGCCTCTGCCTCCTGGGCTCAAGCCATGCTCCCATCTCAGCCTCTGGAGTAGCTGGGACTACAGATGCAGGCCACCATGCCCAGCTAATTTTTGTACTTTTTTTGGGTAGAGATGAGGTCTCGCTATATTGCCCAGGCTGGTCTCAAACACTTGGGCTCAAGTGATCCACCTGCCTCAGCCTCCCACAGTTCTAGATTTACAGGCGTGAGCCACTGTGTAAAGATTCTTTACAAAACCGTGATGTGCAAACTGCTTTCGAGAAAACAGATGATTCCAAAAGGCAAGGGTTATCTGTGGAAGATGGAATCCTGGCTTACAATTCTTCCAAATCTCCCTGAGTTAGAATTAGTCATCCGCATCCTTTGCCATGTGATTTTGAGCACTTTCCACTGGCATGAGGGGGTGTATATTTCCCTCCCCATTGACACTGCATTTGGCCAGTGGGAGGTGAGTGCTTGTGGCAGCTGTGAGTCCTCAAGGGGCTTTGCGTGTTCCTGCTTGTCCTTTTGTATCCTGGATGTCCGCCATGAAAAGACCACGCCGGGGTAGGTGCTAGTCCAAACAGAGGCAGAGACACATGGAGGGAACCTGCTATCATTTGTGTATTTGTCTCCTCCAAGCCTCTTGTTGAAATTAGATCCCGAGTGTTGGTGGTGGCAGTGTTGGGGTCAGAGGAGGTAAGTGAGTTCTGTCTCTGTTAGTTCACGGAGAGCTGGTTGTTATAAAGAGCTTGGCACCTCCCGCCTCTCTGTCTTGCTTTCTCTCTTACCAGGTGATCTCTGCACACACCAGCTCCCTATCACCTTCCCCCATGAGGGGAAGCGTTCTGTGGCCATCACAGATATAGATGCCAAATACCTGACTTTTCCAGACATCAGAATCATGAGCCAAACAAACCTTTTTTTTTTTTTTTTTTTTTTTTTTTTGTGAATTACACAGTCCTAGATACTGCTTTTGAGGACTAAGCTGATTCTTTTTTTTTTTTTTAAATCTTGCCCAAATTCCTATCCAAGTGGTCTGGGGAGTCATGCCTTACAAATCCTAAATTCTCATCAGATGGGTTTTATTTAACACTATATATCATGACTTACTTTCCAATCTGACTCTGGCATAACACTGCATGATAAAGAAGAAAATCAAAATATTTTACCCGAAAACATGTTTCTTTAGCATATTTTGAAATGGTCCTGCAAAGTTGTCCTTCGGGGGGGAAAATTTGCATCTGTAAAAAATCTCTGACATAGCTAGATCTTTTTCTTCCAGGCCCTCCCAATCCTGAAGAGATTAACTGAGAGTCTAGCATCTTTTAATGATCTGAATAGGAAACATTTGTCATCTATTGTCTCTAAGGGCAGCCACTGTGAGACTTCAAAAGAACCTTGGTCTCCACAATCTTTTATCTCACCCTGAACATTTCCTTTCTATTGATCCCAGGTCTTTAGACAAACTGAATCCATTGTCATCCAGAAAATGTTTAAATTTGCCTATAGCCTGGAAGTCTCCCTCTCTTCATCCCCCTTCCCCTCCACTCATCCCCCTCCCCACTCCTCTATCCTCCTCCTCCTCCCCCCTCTTCTACCCCTTCCCCCTCCCCCCTTCCTTCCCCCTACCCCCTTCCCCCTACCCCCTTCCCCTTTCTGCCTTCCCCTTTCCCCCTCCCCCTTCCCCTGCCCCTCCCCACCTTTGAGTTGTCCCACCTTTTTGGACCAAACCAATGTATTTCTTAAATGTATTTGATTGATGTCTCATGCCTCCCTAAAATGTGTAAAACTAAGCTGCACCCTGACCACCTTGAGTCCATATTCTCAGGATCTCCTGAGGGGGCCATGGTCACTCATATTTGGCTCAGAATCAATCTCCAAATATTTCACAAACTTTGACTCTTTTCGTCGACACTTTTTAGCAACACAAATGGACGAAGATAAGATTTGAATTCAACCTGCAGTCTGCAGCCTGGCTAAGCTAACCCACAGCCTAGAGCAGGGATGTCCCACGAACTCCACAGACCTGGGAGTAGCAAAAGAAATGCTGGCTGCAGTGAGGCAGTATGTTTTGGGGAAGTTTATTATGCAACAATAGCTGATTAACATATCATTCTTATATGGGGCAAAGTGGGTCATATGGAGAGAAGGATGGGGTGGTGGGGAAAAAGAAAGGTTATTAGGTTACTAGGGAGGAGAGGAACCTGCTGTCTATCATAGGTCCTGAAGGACCTTGTAGCAAGAATTTCTCTGAACTTTCCAGACCTATCATTGTGCCAGACAAGCCACGATGCTAAATTTTTTTTAAGGGAAAAATTCAGTGGTGGCCTGTACAGAGCTGAAAGGGCAAAACTGAAAGGAAGTCAGAGAATAACCTTTTACATCAGGCAAAATTGATGGCTGATTCAACAGCCCCAAAGGCTTATGTAGCTCAGCAACTTACAGCAACCATTCCTCTTGTTCATTTTGGTGAAGTTATTCGCACAGAGTGAGGGTCCCCACTCTGCCCAGGTGCAGGAGGAGATTCAGAAAATTTAAAGAAATATGGGCATAATTTAATTCAACCTTGATGGTGATAGAAAGTTCCAGAGACACGGCCATAACATACCAACCAGTATTATGCTTATCTTTGGAAATGGTAACATGATGCTTTTAACCATCGTGATGGGAACTCTTTCTTGCATAGAAAGAATTTTTAAAATAGAACACTTAAAAAAAAAAAAAAAGCATTTGATACCAGTAAAGTTTTTCCAGAGGGCATTGAGAAGAATTGAACTAAGCTTAGAAAAATGACAGTTATCTGTTACCCAGAAAAAGCAGGTAGGTCAGTGCCGATAGAGCTATTTAATTTTAGCCCACATGTTTCAACACCAACTTAGACCTCCCATGCAATTAGCTAAAATAACTGAAATAGGGGAGTGCCTAAAGGCTATACCCATGTACATTAATTTATGAGTCAAATGAAGCAGAATTTATAAACTCATTGGCAGTTACTTGTTTGACTTGACTTTTCTTTCTGTGAGGATAACCCCTTCTGTTGGAAGGGACCACCCAAATAAGAGTGATGTCTGCCTCTACCAACAACAGAGATACTTAGCTTCTGGACCAACACTTGGCTCTTAGCGTGTTGTTAAAGGAAAATTCAATTGGAATTGTTGGTTATATTTCTCTGTCTTATCTTCCAAGAATCTTTGTTTGTTTGTTTGTTTGTTTGTTTAAGAGACAGGATCTGGCTTTGTTGCCCAGACTGGAGTAGGGTGGCATGATCACAGCCCACTGCAGCTTCAAATTCCTGGACTCCCACCTCAGCCTCCCAAAAAGTTGAGACCATAGGCATGTGCCACGGCACCTGTCTAATTTTTAAATTTTTTGTAGGGAAGAAGTCTTGCTATATTGCCTAGGCTGATCTTGAACTTCTGGGCTAAAGCGATCCTCCCGACTTGGCCTCCCAAAGTGTTAGGATTACAGGTGGGAGCCACCCTGCCTAGCCTTATCTTCCAAGAATCTCGGAGGGCAAGCACTGAGTTTTGAACCATTCTATTTTCTTCTCTGCCTCATTGTGCAAAGCATGGTGTCTTGAACTTTGGAGTTCCATAAATACATTTTTATTATCATGGCAGACCCATCTGGCTGGCCAACTTAGACATCATCTCTGTTTCCTCTTCTACCTCGCCATTTTCAAACTAGGCACACATGACTCAATTCTGGCCGATGCATTGTAAACTGAAGCCTTTAGGTGGGGTTTTGGGAAATACATATGTATTTTAATTGTCATGCTGCATTAGCTGTTTTATATCCTTTTCCTTCTTCTTGCATGCCCACGCAAGGCTCAGAAGGCCAGTACATCCTGTGACTATGAAGCAATAGGCATGTGGATGAAGGTCCACACATTAAAGATGGCAGAGCAAAATGATGTGAAGAGCCTGTGTTGGAACTGGCTTTTACCAGTTCGCAAGATTTGACCAATAGCTTCTCAAGAATTTTGCATGTCTGTTGTTCAGCACAGCCATGATTAAAAATGGCCTTATATAAACTTATAATGAAATAAGTTATGTTAAAGCAAAGATAATAGTGCAAACTAATATTTTTTTTTACTGTTTTACTACTATCTAATGCTCATGAGATTATTTATGCATATAATATTGGTGGAAATGTTTTGTACTGGAATGGAATTGAGCATTTCTTCCCTACTCTGCACTTAGATGTGTCACGTTGATAGCTGGAAATCAAACCATGATGGAAGTAGGTATGCTATGGAAATTGACAAGCATAACAAAATAGTACTGTCCCTTCAGAATGGTTGTTAAACATTTAGCAGCTCAAGCTCACCACTGCTGGCTTCCCGATGGATCATTGATTTGCCATCTCAGTCTCATCTCCTGGAATTCTTGTGGGATAAGACAAATAAGCCCTAATATTTTAAAGTCAACATTAGTCAAGGTTTCTTATGGTATTGCACAAAAATTATGTCTAATGTATATAGCTATTAAGTCATTTATCTCACCCTACCAAACACAGGTGGAAAATATTCAACGTCATACCACGGATGTGCAGAAGAAGAAAGAAATCCTATTTGGAATGAAGTCAGGCAGTTGGAATTTGCAGAAGGAAATCCTGGCAGCCCGCGGTGTTTGAGGCATTACATAAACATCTGATATTTGACTCTAACTATCGGCACTTGGTGTCAGCATATAAATGTTGGGTTGGAAAAGTAGACAAATTGATTTTCCATTTCTCTCATTCTAGTTTCTTCCTTTCATTGATGCTATAGTCACGGATCTTATTACTAGCATAACAGTCAGTAATATACACATGTTATTTCTCTGGTTAAAGAATAATTCTTTTCAAAGCTCCATAATGTGATAAACTGACCCTGAATTATGACCATAAAAATAATAATTTACTCTTTTCTCCAAAGCTATCAAAAAATTCTCGAGCTCTAGAACCTATAAACTGTCTAACCTTAAGCCATTGTTATATATTTTTCACATTTTATGAGTTAAAATAGACTTGAGAGTTAAGAAGAGGAAAGTATTGGTCCATCTACTTCCCTGCCTGGAACACTAAGGGTCAGAGAGGTTAACTTACCTGTTCAAGGTGAAAAAAATAGAAAGCAGGGCTAGATTGCAATTAATGGTATCTCCTCATTACTTTTTTTTTTTCTCTCTCAGAATCACGTTTTTGTATTCCAGTATAAATATTGAGTTTGAACGCATGAAAATCATTTTCCTGGTATGTAACAGGGCGGTTGGATTTTGTTTTCCTTTCTGGCCTGTTTCCTGAGGCTGTTAAGAAGAGCCAGAGATCAAGAATTTGAGTCCTTAAATGCAAAATAAAAAGTATTGCCAGTGGAACTAGGTTTGTTACTGGGGATTCTTGGTGGGGAATACTATGTTCCGGCAAAAAATGAGGAGGTTTATTGTCTCCTCCTTCTCTTATATAGTCTCCTTTTAGTTTCTTACCTTTACCTTCTTACTCCATTTTTTCTTTTTTCGGTTAAGATACAAGGTCTTGCTCTGTAGCCCCAGCTAGAGTGCAGTGGTGCAGTCATAGCTCACTGCAGCCTTGAACTCCTGGGCTCACACCTGTAATCCCAACACTTTGGGAGGCCAAGACAGGAGGACGACAACCCTGGGCAACATCCCGAGACCCTGTCTCTTCAAAAAATTTAAAAATTAGCTGAGCGTGGTAGCACGTGCGTGTAGTCCCAGCTATCCAGGAGACTGAGGTAGGAGGATTGCTTGAGGCTGGGAGGTCCAAGCTGCAGCGAGCTACGATTATGCCACTCCACTCCAGCCTGAGTGACAGAGAAAGACCCTGTCTCAAGAAAAAAAAAAAAAAAAAAAAAAAAAAAAGGATGTGGAAGAGGAAGAACAGTTACTGGGGCATTTGAAGTTCAGTAAGAGACGAAATCTCAGTGGGCTGAAGATAATGTAAAAACATCCCAAATTTTAGTGTGTTCTTCTCTATCTCTACTCTGTCCACAGATTATCTACTGGCTAAAGTGATCCTCCCACCTTGGCCTTCCAAGTAGCTGGGATGACAAGTGTGCACCACCATACCTGGCTAATTTTTAAATTTTTTGTAGAGACACGGTCTTGCTATATTGCCCAGGTTGGTCTCAAACTCCTGGAGTCAAGCGATCCTTCTGCATTGGCCTCCCACACATTTATTCATCTTTTATTGAATAAATGTTTGTTGAGCACCTACTATGTGCCAGGCAGTCTTTCAGGTTCTGGAGAAAGCAGTGGTGGGGACAAAATGTCCCTGCTCTCATAGATTAGGTGTGGTGGAGAAGTAAAGCAAGAAAGACCATTAACAAGTTAACAGAGAGGCACCATGGAGGAAATGGAACAAGGTGGTGTGTTACAGTGTGGCTCTAGGTGGGACTGGATAATCTGATCAAGTCCTTACAGGTAGTGAGGAGATATCTGAGGGGTGTCTTAGTTAGTGTAGGCTGCTATCAGAAAGTACCATAGACTGGGTAGCTTATAAACAATAAAACTTTATTTCTCTTAGTTTTGAAGGCTGAAAGTCTGATCTCAGGGTTCTAGCATGATTGGGTTCTGGTGAGGGCCCTCTTCTGGGTTGTAGATCACCAGCTTCTTGTATCCTCACATGAGCTCTGTGGGGTCTCTCTCTTTTTTTTTTTTTTTTTTTTTTTTTTGAGACACAGTCTTGCTCTGTCACCCAGGCCGGAGTGCAGTGGTGCTATCTTGGCTCACTGCAACCTCTACCCCCCAGGTTTAAGTGATCCTCCTGCCTCAGCTTCCCAAGTAGCTCAGATTACAAGCGTGCAGCACCACACCCTGCTAATTTTTGTACTTTTAGTAGAGATGGAATTTCACCATGTTGGCTAGGCTGGTCTCAAACTCCTGACCTCAAGTGATCCACCCGCCTCAGTCTCCCAAGTGCTGAGAATATAGGCATGAGCCACTGCACCCAGCCTGGGGTCTCTTTTATAAGGGCACTCATCCCGTTCATGAGGACTTTACTCTCATGACCTAATTTACCTTCCAAAGGCCCCACTTCCTAAAATTATCACACTTCGGGTTAGGATTTCAACATACAGATTTGGGGGTGAGGGGCACAGATATTCAGTCCATTGCAAGTGGGATCTGAGTCACAATTAATGGTCTTGCAAACATTGGAGATAGGGCCCTGGGGCAGAGAGAATAGCAAGTGCCAAGCCCTTGAGGAACGAAAGAGGTTCCTCTCTGTAGTAGTAGCCATCAGTGGTAGGAAATGGAATTGTAGGTCTCTTTGGGACTAGTTCATGCAGAAATTTTAGGTGATGATGAGGACTTACTTTGTGTTTTATCCTAGTTACAACGGAAAACCATTGCATGTATTTAGGTTCTAGAGGACCACCGTGAACCAATGTGCATTCATAAAAGAATAGAGGTGCCAGACATATAGTCAGGAGGATCTTCTAGAATGCAGAAAATAGACAGTTTGACTAAGAGTAGCGTGGATGGAGGGAAGTTTATGAATGCAACCTATTTTGGAAATAGAGTCACAGGTGATAGTGATGGACTTGATGCATGGAGAGGGTGTGTAGAGAAAATAGAAGAATCAAGGGTGATGCCTTGGTTTTTGGCTTGAACAACTGGTGTGGTATTTACTAAGCTGAGGAGACTGGGAGAGGAAAAAAATCCCTCCCCTTTGTAGGAGAAGCATCCACAGTTCTGTTTCAAGTATGTTAAGGAGTCTTCCTGGAAACCTCATTACAGATGGCAAATAGTCTGTTGGATATAGGAGTTTGGAACCCAGGAAAAAGGTCAAGATTTGAGCTAAAAATGTAGGGTTATATAAATAATCTTTAAAGCCAGTAGATAATTGGTGGACAGGGTAGAGATGGAGAAGAACATACTAGAATTTGGGGTGTTTCATTATATTATCTTCAGCCTACTGAGATTTCTTCTCTTACTCAACTTCAAATGCCCCAGTAACTGTCTTCCTCTTCCAAATCCCCCCTACTTTTTTTTGAGACAGGGTTTCACTCTGTCACCCAGGCTGGAGTGTAGTGGCATGACCATATATCACTGCAGCCTCCACCTCCTAGGCTGAAGCAAGCCTCCCACCTCAGCCTCCCAAGTAGCTGGGGGACTACAGGCACATGCCATCACACCTGGCTAACTTTTACAATTTTTAAAGAAATGGGGTATTGCTATGTTGCCCAGGCTGTTCTCGCACTCCTGGGCTCAAGCTATCCTCCCACCTTGGCCTCCCAAGGTGCTGGGACTGAAGACGTGAGCCACCACTCCCAGCCTCCAGATCCTTCTAATGGACATTCCCTCAGTTACTGCCATCAGCTCCCCTTTCCACCCCTCAACAAATTCTGTGATTCCTGTACAATCTCCTCTATTCATATAGATTCATCTGATCTGTATTGGTGACTTCCCAAGTCTATGAACCTGCCCTTATCTCTCACCCAACCTTAATTAAATCAAAGCCATTCAATTCAAATCAATATAAGTCAAGAAGCATTTGTTGAGCAATGTCCACATATCAGGCAGGTTGGTCGGACATCAGTGGCTATATAGGACGGTACCACTTTAGTAACTCTAACCCTCAGCCTTAGGGGCTCAGAAGCTTGATTCTCTCAGCATATTAAGTGGAGTAATTTCTCAGGGTGCAAATTAACCCAGCTCACAAGAATCTCATGTATATAAATCAAAATGTCAATTCACTAATTTACGATGAGAAATACAACTTACAAGAGGAGCAGACATTCGCATTTGCCTGATCTGCACATTTTCTCCATCTAGGAAAACTACATAGAAAGCCGAATCATCAGAAGGTTGCATGGATTACGAGAGATCAGAGCAAGGGACCTTGGTGGCAGCTTTGAAAGTTTAATATCATCAGGCAGTGATAGTCCAATGCATTGATGTTTGCAGAGAAATCAAACAAATCATGTGTTTCTGTGGACTTCTTAGGATACCAGAAGAGTGCTCTGATGGGCATTGCCAAAATAAATCTCTCCCGTAGTCCCTTTTCTATGTTCTGTGATGACATCCCCCTTTGGTCTAACACATTCTTTCTCTGGATAAGTTAATAAAATAAAATCAGTTAACTCCCACTAGGTCTTTTTACCTAGGAACCATTTCATCCCAGTAAGGGTAATGTACATATTTCCAATTTCTTCCTTTATGTGTAGAATAATTCACTTAGGTATTAGAAAATAGATTCAGGCCAGGTATGGTGGCTTAAACCTGTCATCCCAGCACTTTGGGAGGCTGAGGCTGGTGGATCACCTGAGGCTGGGAGTTTGAGACCAGCCTGGCCAACATGGAGAAGCCCCATCTCTAGTAAAAATACGAAATTAGCCAGGGATGTTGGCACGTGCCTGTAATCCCAGCTACTCAGGAGGCTGAGGCAGGAGAATTGCTTGAACTCGGGAGGCGGAGGTTGCAGTGAGCTGAGAGTGTGCCATTGCACTCCAACCTGGGCAACAAGAGTAAAACTGTCTCAAAAAAAAAAAAAATAGAAAGAAAGAAAGCAAGCAGATTCACTTTCTTCATTTCAAATTCTGTCACCTCAAGTATCTAGAATAATGTCTTTCAAATAAATATCTTACGAAATGTTTATTGAATGAATGAATGACTGGATTAAATTTTGTCTCTGTGTAGCTTCAATGATTAGATAGAAAAAAGTCAATTTTATTTAACATATTTAGTTGATTTTAACAAACACTAAATGGTGGACAAAAGAATTTTTCTAGTCGACTTGCCCAAGACCCAAGGTTCTACTAATATCACACTGTTCAGAGCAGTTTCATGTCAAGAAGGAGTCCAGAGGGACATTGTCACGACTTCATTCCATATACAACTCAACAAAGTATAGCTTTTGACTTCATTTTCTTATTTTGATTTAACTTTAACTCTTCCAAGACTGAATGGCAGAAATCACTTGTGGCCTGTTATCTACTTTACATTTCCCTTTAATCCCAATATTCTCTTTTCCTCATGTTAACATAGCAAGGGAATGCGTAAATTAAGACGGTCTGAATGAATGGCCAAGATTCAGATTCTCCATAACGATAAGGGTCAGGTGAGATCCAGGTCACACCTAGTGAGTGATTCTGTAATTTAATGCTTTTCTGAGGCTATCAGCAAATACTTCCACTGGTGGGAATTTATTATGAGAAAATAAAGAAGCAGTTAAAGAGTTATATGTAAGGATGTTTCTTATAGCATTATAACAGTTCAAAACAAACACAAGACTAGAAAACCTCCAACAGTGATTGGTTAATACGGCGCATTTCACGATCGTGTATTATGCAGCCATTAAAATCATGCTTTCAGAGAACGTTTAAGGACATGGGAAAATGCTTGCTGTGCACATTGTT